ATATATATATATATATATATATATATATATATATGTTGTGAGATAGTAATTCAATGAAGACGATGATGGATGTGTAGTTCAATTTCATGGATTGGTTTAAGTTAGATATTAACACCATTGGATGTCGGCTCAGTGATCCAGTAGGTTAAGCGTTCGCGCGCGAGACTGAAGGCCTTGGGTTCGAATCCCACGAGTGGGATCGTGGATGCACACTGCTGGGGAGTTCCACCATAGGGCTAAACGGTCGTCCAGTGCTTTCAGGTTTCAATGGTGGTCCAACATCAATCAGTTCATGATCTCAATCAAAAATTTATCAATTTCCACAACCCCTAAGCTGATAATTAACATGTGCTCACTAGTGACTAGCTTCGTGAGAAAATTCTCGGAGTTCTGATGATAAGCTATGACCAGTGGAGCTAATCCATGTCGGGTAGAAACAGGTGTCTACCTCGCGCACGAGACTAATAGGTGCTAGGGTTCAAATCTCGCGAGGCAGGATTGTGAATACGCATTGATGAGAAGTCCCACAATAGGACGAAACAGTCGTCCAGTTCTTCCAGGTTTTCTATGATGGTCTAGTTTCAACTGGCTGATGATCCTAACCATTGAAATTACTATAATATCCACAAAAACAATTCTGATATAAAGTATATCAGTCAACAGTTTTGAAAAAATGTTTTTCTATGTTTAATAGTCATTTAAAATTGTTTTGCAAACTATACGATAGTACATTAAAAATTTATTTGTTAAGAAGTATAACTTATTGTAAATAATGAAGTTCTGTTTTGAATGTGTAATTTCACAAAAGTAATAGATGTTTTAAATGAGACTACAATTTATGGAAGACATTTGAATGACTCTAGACTGATCTTGAGAGTGTTCACTTAATAACTGAGGGTTATAAATCTGTGTAAGGAATCAAAAATTATGATTTACAATTGATGATTAGATTTAAGGTTTTCATAATGAACTGACATCAACTATAATGCCAAAACTCAATTTAGCTAAATGAATGAGTGAATTTCGCATCAAAATCCGAGACTTGTTATCTTATACCTGATTGGTTCGGTCATAAATTATAGACTCGCCGACGTTGTGTATGAATGATATAAATAACTGATGTATATTCATAGTTAACTTTAAAAGAAAAAAGGATAACTAATGCACATCACTTAGTTTTGATTCGTTGGTTAATTTTCATAGTTACGATATTTCTTCAGAATAAATTTCACTCTGAAAGATTATCAGCCAGAGAATAGTTGAAAACCAGATACTCTTGAATAGTTGTTTTGTTCTTATTTAGAGACTATTAAAAAGTATTCTGTCAACACCACAGATGAAATTAAAATCAAGACAATCAGATTTTAAAACGAAATTAACAATACAGACCTACTTAATTGGAATCTATATTGATAATTATAATCTGTTTATAGTATAGCAGAATCACTATCTGAAGTGTTCAGTGAGTTAATATTTGATTAGTGACTTGATTAACTCTAATGAGAATGGCTGTTAACTGAGACAAAGCTGATCAAGAACAACACATCATTACCTTTAAATCTATTATATTATCCAGCCACATTATATAGAAGTTTAATGAAAATATACTTTCAATAAAATGAAACAATGATTCGAGCTAAAAGTTCAAATCCACATTATTTTAGGTTCCGTGAATATGTCTTCGTTATTTAGATAAAAAGTGATATCAGCAAATACCGTTGAAACATCAACTCAAAATTTCAAATCTTATTTCAACAGTTGTTATGAACTATGAAGTTTCATCATAATGAAACATAATAAATAAATAACCAGACGAAAGTCTATATTTCTTGCAAATTACACCTATTGTAAAAAAATATATTGTGGACTTCATACAAAGCTTATTCATTCTTGTTGATGTTTTGTTATGCCCCGATAAGAATAATGAGTGGTAACTTTTGGGGATCCATTTGTGAACCGATACTATATGTATAATTTTAACGCATAATTGTTAATCAGTTAAACTATTCATACTCATGTCTCTCTTATCATAAGCTTTATTTTAACCTATAAACTGTTATTATACGATTTTCCATTCTTGAATCACTCCTTGTCTATTAGTCACTGCCTCCCTCATTCACAGCCACATCTGGCTAATTCTTGTACAAATGTTGTTTCATATTTTATTGATACGTTGTGGTCTGTTTGGTTGGTATATAAACCCAGTTTGCTTGAAATAAATTATTCATATTGCAGAGGCTGAGATTGGAGTTCTGAACTTAACTGGCTGGGGTAGGCGAAAAGCAGGGTCAATCTAAACTCCAGGCTGCTCATACGGGTTTACGTGTCATTGACTTGATCAATAAGTCACTGCTCTCTAATCAGCGGTCACAAGTTATAACATGTTTAAACTTTCTGTGAAATGTCTCAACTAATCTACTGAAAATAGATATCATATATAGGCACTACTATGGTATATCAATACTCAACTTGGTTTCAACAATAGATCAATATCACTGTAAAATATCTTACATGACAGTATCAAAGTTTATCTTTTTCATCAGTTAGATGATAAGTTTTGTTTAATTTTCATTCTAGTTTTTGACCAAATATGTATAACCGAAAAAAAGATACTTAAGAGAAGTCAGAGATGATTGTGAATCGATCTACGCTAGACAGTAATAGGGTAGTTAAGTGTCAGTTTTAAAAGTGAATTTCACATAATATTTCTAGACTGTTACAAACTGTTTGTATTAAACAAATTATTAAGATAAGTACATTACGTAATGAAAATAAATCAGTAACAGAGACTACAGAACATATAACTGTTCATTTCCCCTTTTCCTATATACCATCAGAATTCATGCATTGAAATTATACGTAGTTTGTAAAACAATTAAAACCACAGTGCCTAACCATATAGGCACAAGATAAAAATTTTACACGTTTAAAACTTCAAAGATTCTAATCCAAATAGATATTTAACAGTTGAATCCATGAATCAATTGAAGCTAGACCACCTTGGAAAACTTGGAAGCACTGGACAGCCAAACAGATATAATAAAGATTTTTAACCTAGATGTTTTTAATGATACCTTTTTGATTTAGACCATTAAATTTAAAAGCAATCACTGTCGTTCTGACCTGCAGTAACTACATTCATTAGTATAAACTATCAATTTACTAAGTATGGCAAAATCTTAATGTTAATAAATTGAACAACAATACTTGATTCTGTAGTAAATTAAAGATGTTAAATTAGTGATAACGTCAGTATTATAATACATTTCTTGTTGGATACTGACTCAGTGATCTAGAAGTTAGGCGTTTTCACGCGAGACTGATATTCTTGGGTTTGATTCTCACTTACGACGTAGTTGAGTCGTATTTCTGAGAAATCCTTTACTAGGACGAAATGGCCAACCAGTGCTTCCAGCTTTTGAATAGTGGTCTACATAAAACTAGTTAGTAATTTCAAATTTGTCACTAAAAAAAAACTTTAATTTATCAAATACTATTTACAACCAACAATCGACTGAATAAATGACTAACAACAAAAATATATAGAAATAAGAATAGAGGAACTGGAATAAATCATTGTTGATCTTGAAAAGAATCTTTTACTTTGTATTAAGAAGATATAACTATAAACAGATATTGATTATTATCAAGCGTTATCAGTTTTCTTAATCAATAAAATCTATTTAGCAATACATCTTGTAACTGAAAACCAATGCATTCTATATGAGAACTTAATGAATCTATCAAACAGTACATACAATACACACCTGATAGTCTATACTACTCTTTCATCTAGCACTCTCTCATGTAAGTATGACTTTTTACAACACACCTAGTCTAGTCTCTTTTATTCTGTTTAAATGATGTTACAACGATAGGAATCTTTCGCTTTAGTGACTTCTTAGTTCTAAACACTTCTGGCATAAATATAGCTAGCAATTTAATAACATATGTAATTATTGTACACCTTCTATCAACATCTATCATTCCCATAATGCTACTTTACCTGGAATCTGTACTTAGATAAAACTGCCCGTAGTATGATGAACGATATATGAGATGAGATTTTTTCCATACACTTAATGTAACATAAATCCGACAGCATAAAGATTGCTTTAATTATTAATAGAGGAACTATTGAAAATCAGGAAGGATTAAAGAATGTATTGTGATGACACTTAACAATAGTTACATCATTGAACAATGAATACTAGATGACGAAAAATAAATTATATTTCTGATGATATTTCATCCCATGTTGGTCATTACTTATATGATATAATTTCCCTAAATTGTCTTTGACTAATATTCACCAAACCAAAAGAAATGGTCTCTTATAATAAACGAAGTTTACGCAATGGTTATAGAACGATTGATCTTATTCTGAAAAGAATCTAATTACTCTCAAACAGGAAATTTATTTTTCACTGTTCTCAAATAATAAATTATGCAAAGAATGGGATGTTACAATTCAATCTTTAATTATTATCAGAAGGGGTTTTTGTGGATATTATAGTTGAGTTCATAAGTCATTTGAAGCTAGACCACCATGAAAAACCTGGAAGAATTGAACGGCCATTTCGTCCCACTGTGGGACTCATCAGCAAAGCTCATCCACGATTCCACTCCTCTAGATTCGAACTCAGAACCTATCGATGTCGCGTGTGAACACTTAACCACTACACCATTGAGCCGGCATCCAACGGTATTAATGTCTAACTTCAAATAATTTAATTGCTAAAACATATAATGATATCCATGAGTTATTAATAAAATTATTAAAATCTGATCTTAAAATTTCGCGCCAAAAACCTACTTGCAAATTCAGTAAAGTAATGATGCATATCTCGATATATAGAGTAGGGGATAAATTGATAAAATATAATGAAACAATAGCTATCAGTATATAAAAAGGTATCATATGTATGCTCTAATAAAATATAATGTACATCATATATGGGATGAAAAATGTACTCACTACAAAAATCAATTTATATTACCTTGAATTTGTGCAATCAGCATAAAGTATATCAAATTCTTGTGGTGCAATTAATTTACATCGATTAACACCTGGTTGTATTGCACCTAAACCTCTTAGTATACGTACTTGTTCAACATTACATACAACTGGAATAATATCTAAACGTTTCAATTTTGTATAAACTGTATGTAATCCACCAACTAAATGTTTTAAAAATAATTCAAATGCTTGTGGTAAACAAATTAAATCACGTCCATTCACTGTAAATGTTGCTAAATGAGCACCACGATATTCTAAAAAATGTACTTGATTATTCTCTGGTAAATTTGGAACTGGATTCGGTGTACAATAAGCTAATGATTTAGCTGATGATAATAATTGATTACTTTCATTTATATTTGTATGATCATTATTACTATTATTATTATTATTGAGAAATGATGATGATGACGATGATGATGATGAATGATAACTGGACTGTTGTAATTTCAATGTTAATAGATTATCAAAATTCCATGAATCTTTCGATGAGATTTTACTTGATAAATCCATTATATCTGATGATCGGTTATCTTCTGTATTGAGTAAATTTTTAAAATGAGTTAATTTGTCTAACATCTTTTCTCTCTCTTTTAATTATATATATCAACTTGCCTATTTGAATGTGCTTAGTTGAACTATTTCAATTTGAAGGAAAGAAAAGATCAGATAGAAAGAAGTCAATAGATCAAGAATTACAGGATTAATTATGTTGGTCAATAAGTTAATCTGTTAAGAGGTAATCAGTTCAGTGTATTTCTCTCTATATGTATATATTTTTTATGTTCTAAAACTCAGAGTAACAAAATATGAGTGATACAATTGCATTTCCCTGGTGTTTTTTTTGTTGTTGTTGGTTGAACTCTCTAGTTATTTACTTAATAGTAGTGTGTAACTAGACAGTGGAATAGTTAATCTTATATACCGGACTGAATAAATGAGAAATATGTTCAACTTCCCTTTAGAAAAGTGTTATAGTATTGTATGTCTATTTATGTTTTCGACTAATGGTCTTTCCCTCTTCTTTTTTTTAATACTTTACACTATCAAGTCATATGAAGTTGAAGAAACATAGAAATCGTGAAATTCTACAAATAAAAATGAGAATACTTTTAAATTTTTATTACTACTCTATTTGTTTCATTTCTATCCCCACTTTCATATAATCCGTCTAGTATTCTTTAATATTATGTTTATACAACAACTAGAACATTTACATACATTAATAGTTAGAATTCTAATAGTAGTCACAATTGAAATTTGTCTTTCTAAATATACAAATGAAATGGTAAACTGATTATTTCTGTACCAAATATACCTCTTCTCTCTTATAAAGAATAATTCTTTTGTTGGGTAGAAAATAAAAAGGAATGAGTTTTGATTGCTTATGCTATTTATATTGATAAGAGGTATATATTCATTTACGAATTGTCAGATATGTACAAATACGGATATGAATACCTGTACGATGTTAGCATTCACTGAATGTGTGTGTGTGTGTATACAGTATCAGAGACTGATTTACTCTTTCATTTCATTATAACTGATATGGTATTTATTTGTCTACTTATTTACATTGTCCAATCAATTGGTTTTTAAGGGTAGAAAAACTGAAAATTTAGTCTCTATCCATATTATTATATTTTATAGATGCGATTAATTACTGGTATGTTTTCATGTTCTTGTTCCATATATCTAATCACATTTTCTTTTTATCTATTCTCAAGAGGGAGAGAATGTAAAAGTCCATTATATTCATAATACTGCGTTGATTCGTGCATAGTTTGCTTATAGTAATCACTAATTCTTTTTATCAGTTCATTTTATTCTTTATTATAAAAGTATAATTGACAAATAAGAGTTGACTTGATATAGTTCATACTACTCATATACAAGTACATAGGTTTCTTTGATTATATTTCAATTGTTCTTGGAATATTTAGCATTTAACCTTAACCGAACTCATTAATACTTCAATTACAAAATACTATGGATCACAAAACATAAGGGTTCAGTAACAAGATTTGAATCAAAACATGAAGAAACCTAAATATATTTAAGCGACTAATTGATTTGCAATTATTGTTTTAAACAGTCAAAATTAGGTTGATATTGTTTCCCTTGAATCTTCCCATTGATGTTTTAGGACTGAAATTGATCAGTCTCTTATTGGCATATGTGCATACTGTGCGTATGCCTCGATATTGCCTTAATTTACAAGCATTATAAGCAAAGATGGATAGTGGCTAGCAGTGGAATCCAGGACGCGCGTTTCGTCCTGCTTGGGACTCGTCAGCTGGATGTACCTGCATCTCAGAGTTGATGTTCACTCTGGGACTCGAACTCAGTACCGTTCGCTTCAAAGGCCAAAAATCACTCTATACGTAATCTATATATTCTCAACAACTAGCTACCATCATAAAAATTTCATGTTTTTCTCTGATCGACATCATTCTTAATTTGTACAATCATCATTTTACTCAATTCACATGAATCTTTTTGTCACAACTATCTAGACAACATTTCTCTTATTAAGTATTGTATTCACACAACATTATTATGACGTTATCATTACTATTATCTGATTAAAAAACCCAATATAGAATTTTTCTTATTATTGATGTGATTTGTTTTATCATATTAATTGAGACCTGACACATCACGAAGGAATTCCTTATCTTATTCTTAAAGAACTTTCCAAATTTGCAAGTAATACATATTGGATGTCTTTAAGCGACAAACAAAGCAAAAGCTCATTATTGCTGTTTACTTCACTTATCTAGTCATTGTAATATAACAATTAAAGATAAATAAATGTAGATTCTGTTAATGACATCATCGGAAACAATTCTACTTTCAAATAATCTTGGTTTTTGAATGCTTTTAAAACGACTAAAACCTAAATATCTGATTTTAGAATGATTGATACTATTTGAATACTTTTCTATTTAATAACTCATTATCAGTTTAAGGGTTATGGAGTTTGTTAAGTTTCTGATTGAGATCATAAACTGATTAATGTTAGACCACTACTGAAAACCTGGAAACACTGAACGGCCGTTTCATCCTATTGTGGGACTCCTCAGCAATGCGTATCCACGATCCCGCTCGCAAGACTCAGACCCAGGGCCTTCAGTATCGCGCGTGAACACTTAACCTACTGGACCACTGAGACGGTATTCAATGGTGTTAATGTCTAACCTCAACCAACCCACGAAATTGCGTTACCATCTTCCATTGTACTGCGGTATATATATATATATCATACAGACACGCCTCACATATAATGATTTATACTTCCAACTATTCTTCTATCAACATATCACTTTATTTAAGTAGACTTTTTAAAAGTTTGACGATTCTTGTAGAATATTTCATTGACTTTAACTAAGAAAGTTATTTATGGTAATTATGATTACCAAACTGTCTTAAAATCTAATCTAGTTATTAGTAACAATACATAATTCATATAAAGAACTCATTCATAACTATCTAACATTGTATACTATACCTTTCTAAGTATTTTGCATAATGGGTTACAACAAAAATAAGGAAACTTGACAATAAAAGTATTGTGAAATTTATAAAAATAAACGTTAGATTAAATTAATCTATTCAAAAAAAGTACATACATAAACAGAAAAGGAAAAGAAATAAGTTTAATGTATTTCCACATCATCAACAATAATAATTCTTTTACAGTTTAATCAACTGGAAGTAACAGGATTTTTAGCCTGAAGGATGAACATATATATATATATATATCAGAAAGGAGAATTTCATTGGTATAAAATGAATGATGATATGAGAAAAGATGTAAAAAAAAGAAAATAACAAAAGCAAAACTACTGGAAGTGGAGAATAAATGAAGGAGAATAAAATAAATAGATCATTTCTATTAGATTCTATTATTGTTACATTATTTACGTCGAAATGAAATTACCTGACCAACCATACATTCTTGTTATGTTAAGTCTCGTTTTATTTTTTCATATATCACAATGAAAATGATGTAAACATAAAAATCTGATTAGTAAATCTACTGGTCTATATTTAAGTGGTTAATAAGTTTCATGTAGTTTTCAATGAGATAAGATATAGCAGTGAGTTTCCTAAAATTTCAAAAGACTTCAATAAGTCATTATTCATATAATCGGAATCTACTGTTTTACATAAGGTTTAGCTCATTATTTTCAAAACAATTCTAGTGGTCGAATGTTGAGGTCATCCGTAATGTTTTCAATGTTCAATAATTGTGTTATATCTAGTACGTTTGGTCAGTTTTCCATTTTTTTGGTAGATATATGCCATATATCAATGTTTGATTATCATTAGAGATTTAGTTAATTATCCTGGAATGCTAAAATTGAAAGAAACAGGAAAATAGGATTAAGTTCAGAAGTTAGATGCGTCTAAGTGAATTAAAGAAAAACAATATAGTTATCATTCGTTTAGAAATTGATCAAAACCGACATTAAGAAAAAGTGATATTGTAAGGTAATTTTCCTTTCTCTTATTTAAATAACTAATAACTTTTGAGTAGAATAATACATAAAATAAAGATTCACTATTAGTCATCATAACAAAATCAGCACTAATTTATTTATAAAGGTTGATTTTAAGGATTAGAATCGATTGGTCTCTTCTAGGTGTATTCTAGATAGATTGTTGCAATAATGACAATAAATCACGAGCATATTAGACAGAGTTGAATGATGGTTAACACTAGAATCAAGGACTTTTGTATCGTCTTATTTGAGTTTCCTCAACCGATTATATCTACATATCAATGTTGATGTCTATATTGAAACACAAACCCTGTGTCTTTCTCTTCATGCACTAAGCGTTTTCCACTAAACTACTGAATCCAGATGATTCATGTTTTCCTATCGGTGATATTAAGAAAATGTAACTAAATTATTATATCAGCACAATCTTCTTAGGATGAATATGTATCAATAGAGACTGATCAATTACAGCTCTTAATATCAACAAAGGAAAAATACAAAATGTTATAGATCAGAATTTTGAAATACATTCTTCTCGAAGGTTATTTAGCAAATCTAAAGGTCCTATGTTTTATTTCAGTCCCTGGACCAACAATCATTTCTCTATTATTATTAATTAATTGAATAAAATAATTCGGTGGAAAAAAATTTACGTTTCATAGGTCAATGAATAACCATAAAGAAATATATATAGAAGAGCAATGATATCAAACATAATCTTCTTATTTCATTATTTTACTTTCAATTATACTACTTATATCCCATTCTCATTAAACAAAACAGTAATAGTAATAATCATTGAAAATGTTTGTTTTTTTTTAAAGAAAAAGATTATGAAAAACAGAAAAGTTTACGGATTTCCTTTTTAATTTCATGATTGTTAAGGTTTACTTTTATTTCTACTTGAAAACAATCAAATATTTAACTTTGAGTGAATGAATCGGTGCATGCAATCCGCATGAAAACAAAACAAACAACATAAGAATACTTTAAACTAAGTGACACAATAAAATAATTAATCGAAGTAAGATTTAAATCTTCTCCCAGTAACTTTCTCCCTAACCCTCCAAA